CCCCCCCCCCCCCCCCCTCTCTCTCCCTCTCTCTCCCTCACTCACCTTCTTCCAATGTATGTGTGTACCACAAAAGCTGGGTTACGTTTTCCGTTCCAACGAACCTCTGCAATGAATTCCACATCAACAAAGCGATTCAAATGCAACATCATAAATGTTAAAAGAGATCAAACATCAAATAGAAAACGGACAATGGTCTCTGCGTCAATTATCATAACACGATGAGATTCTCGCTGTCGCTGCTCCCACTACACCCTCCATCACTTCCACTGCCCTCACTGCACGGTAGCAACGACACCACATCTGTGTAATGAAACTCGATTTGCAGCCGCTGATGCAAGGGCACTGTCCCAAGCAGATTCTTTTTCAAATCTGTCTCCAATTCTCTCAGCGGGAGTGCCGCAAAGAACTTCTTGACAAACTGGCAGCACTCCAACATCCCGCTGGGAGTTCCCTCTTCCGCAGCAGCAGGAGCTTCAGCTCCCATCTTGTCACCCTCACCGACCCCTTGCTCGCTGCCCTTCCCCCCAAGATGGACATCAGAGATGCCGGGTCCTTTCGCCTCCCCAGATTCGCCACCAGCAGACATGCCACTCCCACTTGCAACCCCATTCTCTTCACTAATCTCGTCACCACCCACAGTGCCACCTCCATTGGCGGTCTCGGCGGCGGCACCCTTCTCACAGTTTTCGTCACGACAGACCTCTCCACCTTCTGCTGGCTCAACTGTACTGTTTGTTCCTCCTCCATTTTCGTCCATCATTTCACTCGGCGATCCCTCGAACCCATCAGCAACAGCCTCCTGACCTTCAGGACCTTGCGTGGGGTCCAAGGGGTACATGCACACATGACCTTGTTCCTGCAGATTGTCACCGGTGCAACCCACAGAGCTCTCCCCACCGCTTTCCTCCTCTGCATCTTCTACGGTGCTGTGTTCGACCTTGCGCTCCTTCGAAGACAACTGCTCGCACTGGACGGGTTTTCCCTCGCAGGGAGTGATCTCCCCACCATCGGTACTCAACAGTGCACCCTCCTCAGACACTGCGCCCTCGTCAGAAACTCCTTCCTCAAGAAGGCTCTCAAGCTTCGTCTTGTCGCTACCACCTGAATGCTGTCTCCTTACCGTATACCCTTTGGCAGCCGGTGCGTTCCTCTCCACTTCCTCTCCCTCTGGCTGCGGCGAATTGTTAGCCTCATCTTCTCCCCCATTCCCATCTGCTGCTGGTTTATCACTCGCACAGGAGTTTACGTTCAAAGGAGTGGCAGGCAGAGCGAGACAAGCATCTAGTGATGATTCTGCAAGGGTTGTTGCTCCTGTACCATCAAACTGCAACATGTATGCACAGGTACACCCCTCGTACAACCGCTCACCAAGCGTGTCAATAATGTAACACTTGCTGCTGCTTTCCACTTTCAGCACAAAAAAGTGGTCATTCCAGCTAACAATATAAATAGCTGGCCCTGCTTTCTCAACCTCCTCCCATATGTCGTCGAAGGACATCGCACCCTCCAGAAAGTCGTACGACTCGCCCGTCCCTTCGGGCCTAAAAAAACCAACAAACGACTTTTCCGGAACAACCCGTACCGGCCTCACATTCGCAGAAACAATTGTCTCCAGGTCGAAGTGCCGGTCTGGAAATCGCGCTCTGTAGGCCTCCACCTCGCAGAGCTTTCTCCATTCTGCAGATCCCTCCCTGATCAGCGTATCAAACTCCAGTCGGCTTGGCATCCTATCGGGGTGTTTGTGCAACCAATCCGCCACCACCACCACAAGCGCCGTGCACGCACTCTCCCCGGCTGCACTCTCGCTCCTCTGGTCAAAGGATGCAAAGAAAACTCGCCCTTGGATTTTTGAATGCCCATCTCTGCTAGCCAACAACTTCGTCTCCCACTCACCAACCGGATCGAACAACTCTGTTCCACCGCGCTTCCCATACAACCCATCTGTGGAGATGTCACCTTCAGAAGCTGACCTTCTCTGCAAAACCCCGACGATAACATTACCCTTTGTTACACGCATTATATTATACAATTCAAGTACATAGCCCACATGGTTACAGGGGGAGGACGACACCAGACCATCAATCTGCCTTAGGCTTTTCACTATTCACACACCGCCCAGACAAATGAGAGCATGTCAGAAACAAAAAACAAAAACACCGTTCATACAAAAATGAAATCAGACTCGCTTTCTGCTTCACTTCGCATACATGCAAACAGATGGCAATTCACACTGGTGCTGTGTGCCCACACAAAACTCCGAGATATGGAAACCGAGAACACAGTTCAGATGCAAACTCGCTTCAACAGGCTATGGCGTATGAGCGCCTGTACATCCCACTCTCGACGCTGTGTCCACAGCCACTGTTCACGCACACTCAACTCTGGATCACCCTGAATATCCCACATGCGTCCACTGTATCACACCCGCTCACACACACACTGACACCTATCACTAGCTATGGCAGCTATGGCCGCCAACTACTTCTATCTACAAGCAGCCATGGCTGCGCTAATCTCCACCTCAGCCCACTTCGACTTCAGGCCTCTGCAGACCACCTCGCACAAGACGCTAGAGTAGTGCTTCCGCATGGCTCACGCAGCAATAGTTAGTGACAGAGATACCAGGTTCACTAGTCAGAACTGGCAGGAGTTTATGAGAGTCTATGGCTCTAGGTTGTTGATGTCATCTGGCCGTCATCCTGAGACCAACGGTCAGACTGAACAGATGAACAAAATCCTGCAGCAAGTTCTCAGAAAGTATATTAGACCCGATCAGCTTAACTGGGTTGAGATGCTTCCCAAGGTAGCCAGCACATACAATAATAACGTGCATTTAGCGACTTGCCCCACTCCCAACAAGTTACGTAAGTCCTTTAGACCACATAGACCGTTTGAGGGACTGAACCGGGATCAGATTCAAAGGCTACCACCCGGTACTAGGGAGTTTGCACTACACTATGAAAAGGAGATTGCTACCGTCACAGAGAACCTCAGGAAGGACCAGCATAGAATGATAGAGCAAGCCAATAAGCACCGTCGCCCATCACAGTTTCAAGTAGGCGACTTAGTCTGGGTCAAATCCAAAGAGTTTGCTCCTGAGGAGAACATCTCGCAAAAGTTACCGCCTGCATACCGAGGGCCGTGGCCAGTCTTAGAAGTCACGGGCGGAGAGGATGGACCGTCCTACACAGTCGAGATTCCAGCGCACCTCCACACCTACCCGGTGTTTCATGCGTCAAAGTTGCTGCCCTGTACCACAAGTCGACAGTTTCCATCACGGAGGTCCATGATCCCTCCGGACATGGATGGGAGGTACGACATTGACGGCATTGTAGGTGAAGACGTCTTCAGAACAGGAGGTCGGGGTCCTCCGCAGAAACAGTATAAAGTCAGGTTCGTTTTTTAGGAACCAGAGGACAACCACTGGTTTACACGAACAGAACTGCTTGAGACCGCTCCCGATGTAGTTCACGCCTATGAGAGAGAGAAGAAAGATGAAGGTCCAGCCTTGGACTGAAGTATTCTTGGAGGACCTCGATTTTAGGCCGGCGGGAGTGAAAGGGTTTTCACCTTCTTGCAGTCACAGATGCGGATCCCAGGGCTCGATCCCCAGACCTTACCTTACCCTACCTGTGTACGGTATCAAGTCGGCCCCGTGTGTCTTGAACCCGTGTCCTGTGTGTTAGTAATTGAAAGTTGTCTGTCGTAGGTTTGAGTAGTTGTCGGGTCTTGAACCCTAGACCTGTCCAAGTAGGGGTCATACCTGCGTAGGGGTCATAGTTGTTGTAGTTCTGAAAGGTCAAGGTCGTAGCTGCTACAGTCCTGAAAGGTCAAGGTCGTAGCTGCTACAGTCCTGAAAGGCCAAGTCCGCAAACTTCCGGAAGGTCCGGCAGTGGCCTTTCAAGTTTCTTCTCACGTTATACACAGCCGACCAGAGGCAAGTGGGCAAGTGGTGAGTCCAACTTCGCTTAGTCGGCGGTACCCAATCCCAGTCTCACTTTGTACAGTCAGCAAGTACCATGAGGGACTGTGTGCACCATGGGCCCGGTGGAAAAGGGCAGACCAACGACTTACAGAAGTATAAATCAAGAGGCAGCATCCAGCCATTCATTCATTCCTGCATAAGCCATGCGGAAGCGCTGCTCTAGCGTCTTGTGCGAGGTGGTCTGCAGAGGCCCGAAGTCGAAGTGGGCTGAGGGGGAGATAGTGTGCCATAGTTAGTAGTAGCCGGCGGCCATAGCCGCCATCGCTAGTGATAGGTGTTAGTGTGTGTGTGAGCGGGTGTGATACAGTGGACGCGTGTGGGATATTCAGGGTGATCCAGAGTTGAGTGTGAGTGAACAGTGGCTGTGGACACAGTGTCGAGAGTGGGATGTACAGGCGCTCATGCGCCATGGCCTGTCGAAGCGAGTTTGCATCATAACTGTGCTCGGTTTCCATATCTCGGAGGTTTGAGTGGGCGCTCTGGCGCCAGTGCGCTTTGTCATCTGTTGCATGCATGTGAGTTGAAGAAGAAAGCGAGTCTGATTGCAAGAACAAAAACAAAAACAAAAAACAATAGACAAAGAAAAAAAAAAGAACACAGCAAGGCTACTAGTAGTTATCCTTGCGGTTGTCAGGCTGGACAGGTCCCATGCAAGCTGTCGGAAATCCAGCAAGTCAGAAACGGCATAGGAAAGAGATATTTTGGGTCTGTGAGGGCATTACTCACACGAGGACCTTTTCTGCTAAGCTTTAGACATGATTGCGGTCAGATGCATCCCAGCCTGGAGTTGATTGCGGTCAGATGCATCCCAGCGTGGACGTGATTCCAGTCAGATTCATTCAGAAAAGTGCTAGTGTGAGTATGCCCTGATTGACATGGTGATCATTTCACACATTCCAACTGGAGCCTGGGCCCGACCTTTTTCATGAACAAGTGTGCATGGGGGCGAGGAGCTATCCCCTTTTTCAACGAAAAAGGGCCACGAGAGACTGTCTCATCCATCTCACTGACTTCACAGGGTCCAAAAGGAGGAGGAGCACGGACCGTATCTTCAACTGTTCAGAACAGATGCTACACTTGACTTGATCTTAGCCAAAAGGCCGACAAAGGTACGGCATGAAAAATCTCAGAAAAATATGACAGAACAAGAGGGAGAAAAGCACAAAGATCAAAGAGGCAAACTGAAACTTTCGTTTATCTTCTCTTATTCTTTCCCCCCCTCCTCCCTCCCCCCCCCCCCCCCCCACCTCCTGCTGCTCCTGGTATACCTTACTGTCTCGTTATTCATGGTGCTTTTTCGGCGTCCGCTTCTGCTTGCTGTTATAGAACAAGCTTGACGTTTGAACCCTTGACCTCAAACTTTCATGCCTGTTTTTCCTATGTGTTTTCTCTTTTTTTTTTCTTCAAAATGAATGATCGCCCCACCTCCTTTTGTTTCCTTCGGCTGAACATCATTTCCTCCTCAATGTTGCTCCAGCCAACTCATCATCTGCCTCCATGACATCCTATTATTTGCCCTCTCCTTTTTCCTTCACGCCTCTTCTTTCTCCTTACTGGCTCTCCTTCCTACCTCCTTGCCTCTTCCTTATTCTCGGTTGTCCTGCCATGTCTTCCTCTTCCGCTTCCTTCTGCTCCCCCAGCCCTCCTTTATGCATCACCTTGTCCTTTCTTCGGCCCTCTTCACCTCCTCCCACTTGATCTCCACCTCTCACCTCCCCCTCCCCGCTTCCCTCTTCCTTGTTGTTGACCCTCATGCCACATCTTTTACACTTCCTCCTGCTCTCCCCTTGTCCTTTCCCTTCTTTCCATCATCAAAACGGCTTCCTCTGCCTCGTCCCCCTTTCCCCCCTTTCCCCCCCCGGCCTCCTTCCCTCATGCCTTGCCCCTCTACTCCGCTGCTCCACCCCTTCTATGTACATGCGACTCTCTTCATAGCCCTATGGCACTCTGCTGTGCTTGCATCCCAACTCATAAGAATGCCCGTAGACAACTCTGTTCGGACTAACCTTCCCCTTAAACCGCTAGTACACGGCCCCAGCCWTGCAGAAAGTTTTTGTCGCCACAAGCAAAACTCGGAGGTGCCGCGCGGGCAGGCCCGCCATTGAAAAAAAAAAACGGTGGCTTCCGAAGTGGTGCCGGTTTCGTGCGGACACCCGCGGCCCGATATATGGTGTACTGGTGCTTTAAGACCGCCGCTACACACCCGCGCCAACGAAATCATGCTAGTACAAACATATATGTCGCTGAAGTTTTGGGGGGTATTGGTGCTTTAAGACCGCCACTACACAGCCGCGCCAACGAAATCGTGCTAGTACAAACATATATGTCGCTGAAGTTTTGGGGGTTTGGAACGACCGGACCGAAATCGCTGGTGCTGCCAGGCAGAACGAAGAAACAGCGCTTCCATCCCAATTCGTTTTTCTTTTCGGCGCGATATGCTTGGGAGACTCGTAAAAAACAGCCTTGGATGTAGTGGCATGGCGGTTCACAAGTTGAGAATCGAGGCTTCTCACAAGGCTACCGAACTTGTGACGTTCGCGGGGTAACAGAAACTAAACAACTGCTTGCTAGCTAGCTTGACATTCACTAACTAGATGCTGTGATTCCACCAGACTTGTCCTCTTCACATTGCAAAAGAGCAAACGCTACCGTCTTCACCCAAATAGAATGCCCGGTCATTCTAGTGGCTGCATCTGGACTTAAAATTGCACCAAATACAGCGGCTACGATGACTGGGCATTCTCTTCGGGTGAAGACGGTAGCCATAATGACGATGGAGCATGTTGGGAACCAAGGAAAAGGGGGATAAACTCACCAGGACAGGCCACTGAGAGAAGTCGCCAATTGCTGAATCTGAATGACGGCGATCCCAGTCAATGTCATCTCCGCCCTCGTCACCTGCAATGGACTTTGCCAAGAGAGGTTTGCCCCTTGCCCGCGGCGAGCGAAACCGTAACTTCCGTTTCCTCCACGGAAGCAAGGACAGCGTTGAAGAAGCTGGAGGATCAACAGAAAGCTCCGGTGTCACTGGCAATAGAGGAGGGGGGGGAAGCAAATCAAATGGCCCACGTGGCTGAGTGAGAGCCGCATTCTCGTCCGCCTCGGAGTCTCTTTCAAAATCATCTGCACTCGAAGAGCCAAGCGATTCCTGCGCAGCTATATTCATTCCGGCAATCGTGTTGTAACCCATCGACTTCATCACATCATCGTCAGCCATGTCTTCTTCTCCTGCTGAATCTGGATCAGACCCCGATAATTCGGAACCTGAGTTGTGCATCTCTTGAGAGTGGCTTGGATCCAGTCTGTGCCAAATGCGCTTGATTTGCACTACATACCACCTGCTGCTTTCCTCGCCATGCTTCTTACCCTCTGACGACAGATCAGAAGAGTGTGGGAGACTGAATGACCGCTGTGCAGCATCCAGAGATGCACCATTATCCCGCAGCTCTGTCAGGGACACTTCAACCTGGAGAACCACCAAGTCAGACAGACAGCATGCAGATCACCGTCAGCACGCTCTTCTAAATACTGGAGTCTTTATGGCAGCAGTCTTATAGCAGAACCGATCTCGCCTTCATAGACGGAAGACGAAGCTTAGAACATGTCAAACGCTTTGATATGTTGACCGTAGACCCAGTACACCTGACACAAGGGCATTACTGCGAAAAGAGCACCTGTCATCATGGTATCTCTTGTAATTCTCATTTTACCTCCCCCCCTTTTATTATGCCTATCGAGTACATGGCTTGCCACGTTGACGTATGTTAAACACAAGCTGTCCCCATCCCGGCGTGCCATAACAGCCCACTTGCAGGCTCTGAAAAGGAGGCAGGCTCTGAAATGCACACCTGTTTGCTTTCAGCACACTTGCACCTTGTATTTTGCCTGTTTAGATATCTTGCTTGGGGGTCACCTGCGGGGGTTGGGTTGCAGTCGCTCTTCAATCTGTAGGGGCACTAATTCAGCAGCGGGAGCAATGGTAAGGCGCAGGCTATCATCTCCTGCAGCCACGTCGGCACACATGCAGAATGGGTTTCTGTGGGGACTGCAGCGTCCACATTAGCAGTTGCCCGTCCAATGATAATAACTGGGGAGGGCGGGTTCACTTGCGCATTGCTGTGTGGAGGGCTGATGCTGCCGGTGCTCAGAATTGGCACTCAGCAGCAGGTGGGCAAGTGACTAGCGAACCATGCGGCAAAACCGGCTTGTAAGCCGGGTGACATGAGTGCGTAGTGGACGCTGCCGGCCACACACATAAGCAGTCCAACCTTGGTCAGGACATTGGGGGGATTGCACCCAGCAAGCATACATCATGTCAAGGAAGAAACTGCAGCTTTGAAGTCGGTGGTATTGTTACAAATATGCTCCAACCTCGTCTGCCTTCCTCCGACCACACCTTCCAGCTGATGAGCTGGGGCGTTGGAGGAAGCGCTAGGATAGCGTATGACGTGGAATGTCCAATCAAATACACCAATGTGAAGAGACATGACCCATCTCGCTCAGTAGTGTCTCCAAGTGTTTCCGCTTAAGCCACCAGTACCTCGGGCTCCTCAACGAAACTTTCGGAGGCCCGCGCTGTGCCGAGGACCGTCGATGTGAAATCTCAACGGCTGTGCCCCCCCGAAAGTCGCAGTGCATAAAACCACTAGTACCTCCGCCATTGTTGGGAAAATAGGGAAAAGTGGCAGTTTTCCCAAACTCCCAAAATTTCGGAGGCCAGCCCAACGACCCGACGATGGCTGCCATTCATAAATCTGATCGGCAGCCATCCTTTCGTTTCGGCCTCCGAAAGGTCGGAGGCCCACCCGAGGCCCACTATTTTCCCCCACGGCAAAGGTACTAGTGGTTTAACGGGCGTGGTGATTTTGCAGGCTGGGCGAAGTACTGGTGGTTTACACCGCCAGTACATGCATATGGGTCCTGGGCATGTTTTGGAGGCCAAAATGCGACGCCGGCCACCAATTTGTTTTTTCGACCGTGTGCCAGCGCCGACTTTTTTGAAGTAGGTGACAAACAATTTACGACAAGGCTGGGGCCATGTACTAGCGGTTTAATACCATACCGGGCAGAAGGCGGTGGGAACCGTTCCAGGATAGGATGCCATCGATGAAGCAATATGCAAATGCTGTGCTGTGCTTAGATCCCCCTGATGGAGTTCTTCAATGAACTGTGTGGCATGTGAGCCTGGTCCCAGTACAGCGTCAGATATGGCAATTTCTGGTCCAATGTTAGTGCCCCTAGGGATACGTACTACCTGATGGCGCAGAGTGCCATTTGCTGCATAGAAATGCGTGCTAGAGACCACAAACTGTAGACGCTGTTCTATATCCGACACTCAGAGAGTGTTTGGAGCATGTGAAGTAACCCACTCCCCTCCATCAGGACCTCCCATTGTCATGTACATTTGCCCCTACGAAATCAGCACCAAGACATAATCATGAGGTTCATGAACAGTGTTCAGTCATCTTGGGAATGGAACCCCCTCCTGGGTTCCGCAGCTCACAGGCTCCACAGCAAAGCACGGAGATGATAACCGTCCCATGAAATCCATCAAACATGCCAAGTACCCCTCCCTTTCGTGCCTGCCCCTCTCCTGCTGTGTTCCTATGTCCCCCCTCCACCCCCCCCCTTCTGTAGCCCATTCCCACAAAGCTACCTTGTCCCTCGCCCAGAAATGTCCCATCCCTGTGGCCACAGTGACTGTACTCCACCGGGACCACACCAAACGGAGGTGTCAGCCAGCAGCATCATGCCAGTCGAGTGAGTGCCACAACCAGCCGTCTACTACAAAGCGATGAACAAGCTAGAAGGAAAGCAAACGGACTAAACATCTGGATGCCAAGGAACATTTTCCACTCACCCCGTAACCTGTCGCAAAACTCTGGTGAAGCCAAGGCTGGAACGAAGGGCTGGTGCAGATTTGTCGGCTTTGAGAGAGAACAAGGAACAAGAAAGGGTGTCAATGTGTCGATAGCCCCATGCATACTAAGAATTGCATGGCCATCAAGGATTCTGGCACAGAATCCGATGTACGGCTATATGTCGGACTCTCATGATGCTGTGATAGCCTGTATGCGTACCAGCATTTGCAGGGGATTGCCAGGTTTTTAAAGGTTTATCAACTGGTACTATGGTAAATGCTGCTGTAGCCGCCAAAGCGATGTGTGGGCAACCCGTAAGGAAGCCTGAGTAGGTGCCTGGCACAAAGAACTGGAAAATTTCCGTTCGCGGCTTGAAAGCATATTGCAGTCTGCCACCTGCACAACTGGGGGAGACTGTCAGCAATAACCGACTTATTGTTGGATGCTGATCTCATGGTTGCGTTGAACCTGGCAATATAATTCTCTAAACCTCGAGCCTTCGTGCTTTCTTTCATCACATCCATGCTGTTGGCATTGAGATGATAAACCTTCCAGCTTGGAGCCTTCAGAGAAGAGAGCCTACAAATGTGTCCCCTCTATAATAGTGTCGTCCACCGTGGCCTCATGACCATCCCCGATGTCAGTACAGGTTGGCTTGTCAACAAGGGCAATTATAAGGGGTTTGAAGGAGGCATATTGATAGTTAAGTTGGGCAACTGGATGCGAATTTGTGGCCTCATCTTGTCACAGATGCCTATGTCCATGGCAAGAGAAGGCAGCGGGTGTAATGCAGCGACCTCCAGTAGCCAAAGGATGCTCCATAATCAAGTTGTGTGAAGAACCTGATGCATGCGCGCAACCTTAATAAATTTGAGCACGGAGCAGTGTCGTGTACAGGGCTGGAAGACAGTCGGTGTGAGTACTGTAGACTATAGATCATGCAGTCCAGTTGACGAATGTCTGCTGTGATCTCAGCAGCATCCGAGGCATTTGTCTGAGGAGACTGCAGCAAATGGATGCGCACGAGCCAGGTGTGGTTTGGGAGAGGGTCCGAGAAATGGCTTGCCAATCTGAATTAGCTACTTGTGTAAGCATGCACCGTAGAGCACACAGCTTAGTACGGAATCGAAAGTGTCAATCATGAAGCGTTCGCCAAAAGAATGTGAATTTGAGCAAAAGAACGGGTCATGGAGGCAAGACTTGGACAGCCTCAAGAGCAGATCTGCCTGTTCAAGCGATTAGATCATCTAATAATCGTCCTTGTCGGAGGACACTGTTGAACCCTCAAGGGTGTGGGGTGGTCAGGCGCCACCGAACCCAAAACCATTCACGAGGGGCAGCTGCATGCTCGAACAGATCAAGGTTGACACAGCCATGAGCATTGACGTAGAGTTGGGGGATCTACGCATTCCGGGTCCATACAGCAAGATGAAAGGGTGATTGTATTGCAATAGAATGGTATAAACGACAGTGCAGAAATGAAATGGTGGTTGTATTGCAATAGAATGGTATAGACGACGGTGCCGTGAGTATAGCAAACCTCCCATTTGACCCATAAGAATGGGGAACGGAAAGGTCAAAAGCAACAGCACCTGTGGGAGTACACAGTAAAAGGTGGCTATCGTTGCTGTCACTGTCATCCCATACAACCCATCGACAGAATCCTAAAAGAATATAGACGGAAAAGGGACTTTACGATTAATGACGAAGACCTTGCCGAATTCTCCCGGAACAAATAGATGAAAAAAAATGCCCCCAAAGCTCATGGCCCTACAATGGCATACACAGGTGCCCCACCACACTGCACCCGTTAGTCTTCGGATCGAAATCAGAGCAGAACGACCTCCTCCCACCGCTCTGCACGACTACGGAAGGTCCTCACCCAAAACGAGGGTGACCCTGGAAAAATGCCTCAAGACCTGCCCGATGCCAGGAGGCAGTCTAGCATACAATCTGGGCTGATACTAAACAGCACATGTGCAAATTAGATGAAAAGGTGAACTTTATACGGAAGCAGTGGGCAAAGGAGGAAATATCCATCATATTGTACGGCCGGGCGGTTCCCCCATGCGCATAATATGTTGTACAGTGGGGAGGTTTCTCCACGCATGATCTGTCGGAAGATATCGAAGCAGCCAACAACTGCTTAGTTAGCCTCATCCGAACTAGCGCCGACGGATTCGTACTGCTCAAGTATGCGATGTGCTCATTCAAGCCCATGAATTTAGGCTCCTTCCCATCTACTGTGTACACAACCAGACCAGCGCTGCCTGCCAATTGCTAAGCTGTTGCTGTAAATAAAGGCCATTCCCGCTCAGTGTACATTGATGCTGGTCTCCTCGTTCTCCCTCCTGCTGTGATGCCCCACCTTCTCATTGATACAAAATAAGTGCACTGTGGCGTTCGACATATCCGCTCTCTTCTTCTTTTTCCCTTCTGCAGTAATGCCCCATCTTCTCATTGATACGGCGTACGTGCCATGTGGTGTTTGAGACTTCCGCCGTCTCCTTCCTTCCATTCACTCCGCTCACTAGATACATCCTCGGAGAGCACCGCATGTCCCAATCTTCAACCAGGCATAAATCAGATATTCATCAAGGACTCG